GAATCAGAAGAAAGTATAGTGCAACTTTGTGCTCATTATTATGCTGCATTGATATTTCAAAAATTCCGAGTGCTGTCCAGAGATATCAGGAAAACCTCGAAATTCGCCAGAAATGATTTTATTTTTCCAATACCGCTTGTCAATAATAGGCAATCCTCCTTACGCTTATAATCCTTGGTTTGTGTCAATATCGGCGCTTGTCAATAATGGGCACTCCTCTCGACGCTTATAATCCTTGGTTTGTGTCAATCAATAGCTGTCTTTCTCTGTTCCTTTACGTTACATCTTTCTTCTCTCTCGAGTAACGAAATTTGCCCGTGACGCGTTTTTCAAATCACTCTCCATTGTCGTCCAAATAGCAGAAAGCCGTTTAAGAAGTTTCTTTTCAAAAATTATTGAAATGAAAATAATCTTGATACAATTTTGGAACATAAATAAAAGTTGTATGATATTATGTTAAGTGTGTGCTGGCGCTATTTGACTGTGAGTTGGTGGTATACAGAGATCAATGGTGGCTTCATCTCTGTCATTCTCAGGAGAATAAAACATAGTTTATACTAAAGCTTATTTTTATTCTCAACAATCATTGCCAATATGGTTAATGGGACTGTGAGTGCGACTACCATCTAAATTGTATCAATATTCATAATCATAAAAATGAAATACGTCTTTATCGTCACCCTTGAATATATATTTTTTTTTTCAATAGATATTGAGTATTTAAATAGAAACAGATCCCAAATTTCCGCATACTTTTTTCCTCAACCCATGTTATTTGTGGATGAAATGAATTAAAAATTCCACCACATTGATTGCAGATGTGCGGCAACTCCCATGACGTTACAGGTTATCCTGGTACTGGCAGATATGAATAAGCTTTTAGAGGGTTATGATCCTATTGATACTTATATTTAGAGCTTAAAGTTGTTGTAGCGTCCAGCCTGTAAGAGACATTGTTTAGTATATAACACTGCAATTGAAATGATACACACCGCTTTCTTTTTCCTGGAATTCTGTGAACTTTTTGTTCAGGATGCCTGAAAACCCAAATGACCAAATTTATTTCTGAGCAGGGGGTGGTAGTGGCAACCGGTATCTTTCTAGCACTTTACTGAGGCTATTTGGGCCCCTTATAGGCTACTTCCAGTTTCAACTTGAAAGTGGTTGTGTCATATTTTAGTCCTCTATTATGTTATTCCATAGTTACCGTGATTTGTTAAAGGAAAAACCAGTTCTAAAACCCCTTCTTCTCGTGTACGTGTACGCATGTTTGCTGAATTCGGTGGGTCGGTTGCTCAAGAATGTGCGAAGTTAGTTTTCTCATATCCTTGCGCTATTCAACTGTTTGCTCTAAATTATTTTTTTCGCATACGCATTTTCTGCTATCCTGGTAATTGTGTCCTCCGTCCGTCCTAATACTGGATAGGTATGCCACAGCTAATTTCAAAACGTGCTTCACGCTGATAGGGTCCTGCTTTGATGAAAGCCGCTATGTTTCAATTCGGTTCTTGAAAGATGTTTTGACAAGACTAACGTCTTCCTCCTGCTTCACCAGGTGTTGGCTCGGTGCTAGAGACACCGAAGATGACCAACCCATTGATTTATCGGTGCCTCCAAGTCGCAATCCTCACACCACCGGCATGTGGCTGATATTGAAGGTCCTGAAAATAATTAAATTAGATTTAAAAAATGCGATTAATGTCAACTTACCAGCAAAAGTCTAGCTTGCTTCATCATGGGGGCGGTGGGATCTCCAGCCTTTCGTTTGGAGGCTCTCTTGGAGCTGGGTGTTTTGATGGTGTTGGATAGCCCCCTCTGCTTTAAAAATCCCACCACACTGGTTACAGATCTTGGAAGATGATTAGCAATCCCATGACGTTTCAGGTTATCTCCTTCCTGGTGAACGATTTTGTACATAAAATTAAAAATTCGCTGTTTATGGAGGTTTGTTTTAAAATAAATGAAAAAATAAAACCAGTTTAAATTGGTTAAAGAACCTACCTAAATTTTAGAAAAAGAAATTTGAGTTTTGTGCAAATGTAAGTGTAAAAGTAAATTCAAGTTGCTCCGAAAAAAACTATTGGAATTAAATTAAAAAATAGGTACTCAGGGTTGTCTGTATTTTTAAAAAACAAACAATATGTTTATGTGTTAAGGAAAATAAAAATAATTCAATAATCGAGGTTTGTGTTAATTTAGAATATGTCTCAGGGCATGATTTATCCTACATCACTTAGATATTTAAAAATAGTACTTACAGTTTTTCGAAACCGACACTTATCGCACAAGAAACTAAACTTTGAAAATCCAGGTTCAAAGTACTGGTACTGGATGCTGCGTTTTTTGTACAAAGAATAAAAATTGAATCCTCATCTTTTACAGGTAACAATGTATCCACTTAAATTTTGTATTGCATAGGGTTATTGGCTCATAAAATGTCAACGATGCTAATTTAAATCTATTCTTTTAAATTTTGATGAATCGATTGAATTTGTCACCTTTTTTAAAATAAAAATGGACATCAAATATCTAACTTAATAATTACGCCTTAAACTAAAAAATTATCTTTAAAATGTGTTGTTGTTTTTCTCGGGCGATTTCTGCGAACGGTCCTGATATAATTCAGATAAAAAAACTGCCGAATAAGCGTTTACATTTGACGGTGCTTTTGTATGTGATATCAAAGTTTAAATCGGATTTTATAATAACAAGCTTCTTTCAGTTTGCTCAAACTCGTCACCAGTGAAAAATATAAAATTATTGCACAACAATTATCATTTTAACCAAGTAAGTAAATATCTTATATACTAATATCAATCAACAACAAGACCTGTTTTTTTATAGCAAAGGATTAAAAACACTGAGAAAATTACAAGACCTGAAGCCTGATATAGAGTGAAATTCCCAATATTTTGGCAGCGTTTTTTGTATGTGATTACTTCAAAGTTTAAATCGGATTTTATAATAACTAAGCTCTTTTAGTCTTGTTTGAAACTCGGTGAACTATAAAATTATTGCACAACAATTATCATTTTAACCAAGTAAGTGAATATCTTATATACTTACTAATATCGATACAATTATGAATATTTTAGATATGGATTTGAAATCAATCAACAAGACCTGTCTTTTTATAACAAAGGATCAAAAACGCTGAGAAAATTATAAGTCCTCGTAGAAAGTGAGTGTACCCAATATTTTCTACGATACAGACCTCAAAATAATTGCAAATCTTTACTGGAACCAGTAAACTATACAAATTAAGGTAGATCAACAGATGTCAAGCGAAGTTCGAATTAAAAGGGGTGCCCACAGTGTTGTATTCTTTCTCGTCACAGTGAGGATTATAAAATTATTGAGCAACAATTATTATTTTAACCTAGTAAGTAAATATCTTATATACTTAGGTAATCGATACAATTGTGGCATATTTTTAGCTATGGATTTGAAATACTCGTTGAATTTGACGACAACGCAGTGTTTCTCCCAAGACGTACCACCAAAATGATTAGATCATTAAGCAGTTTATTGATGGAAAATATTCGCTTTTTGAAATCGTTGTCTTGAAAAATGTATGTTTTTAATAAAAAAAAAAACGAGGCCCCTTCCCCATCAAATGTTGGTTCCAACCAAGGATAATACACACTACTACTACAGGATAGCCTATCCTCATAAGGCCTGTGTGGAACAAATCCACTCTCTCCCCAACGTTAAATCACCAGTTGTGACGTAAGCAGCATGTTATTTCTCGCCTTGACGTAGGTTGTTTAAACAGCTGATGGCTTAGTTATGGCGTCGTAAATCGTAACACACGAGGTCAATAAGCAATCCTGTAGGTGTGTTTCATCCTTGAGTTCGAACACCCTCTACCAGGTACAACATGAAGCTAGCTGCTGGACCCTCATAGTTACGTCACCACCACAGCATCCTGTTATAAGACACATCGAACTTGTCACATGTACGCTAGATGGTGCCACCGACACAAACTGACGTAACCCACGAGACCCAGGTCGAACCATGAATCGAACTTTGCACTATGTACTCTAGATGGTGCCAAGGACGTGACCCAGGTCGCTATGACGTCATCACAGAACCCGAACCATGAATCGAACTTTGCACTATGTACTCTAAATGGCGCCACAGACGTGACCCAGGTCGCTATGACGTCATCACAGAACGCGAACCCTGAATCAAACTTTGCACTATGTAGTCTAAATGACTCCACGGACGTGACCCAGGTCGCTATGACGTCATCACAGAACGCGAACCCTGAATCAAACTTTGCACTATGTACTCTAAATGACTCCACGGACGTGACCCAGGGCGCTATGACGTCATCACAGAACCCGAAACGACTCGGAACAATCCCTTCCACGCAAACTCCATATTACAGGAACCTGTAATTCCCCGAACCATAATTAACTATACGTAGCGATTTCGAAACGACTCGGAACAATCCCTTCCACGCAAACTCCATATTACAGGAACCTGTAATTGCAAGAATTCACCGCAATAACCCGGTATGACGTCATCATATGTGACAGATGACGTTTGACAGGTGACGTTTGACAGATGACGTTTGACAGGTGACGTTTGACAGGTGACGTTTGACAGGTGACGGTTGACATGATGGCGGGAAAACATTTCCCCCCACCCCTTTTTCTGGTACCCATAATAAAATCCGGGGGCCCCTTTTTGGGGGGCGCAGCCCTGTGGGCCCCCTTTTGGGGGGCGGAGCCCTACGGGTCCCAACTACAGCGTCCTGTATTACGAACTTCACACTATGTACGCTAGATGGCGCCATGACGTTTGACAAGATGGCGCCGACGATGCATCCACCTTCGTGTCAACGGCGGCGCATCCACCATCGTGTCAAGAATGCTTGATTCTTGAATCCCCTTTGACTATCTACTGCTACTGATTTTAAAACTTTTTGTGTTATTCATCACAGGTCAAGGTTGTTATATAATAATTGTTTTAACTACTAATAATTTTCGTAGAAATATGGATGAGACCAGTTCCTACTCAATGTATTACTTCACAACCACCACCATTGGTATAATATCGGTAGTCCTAAATCTCCTTTGGGTTGTCAAAGATCTTGGTGGTTTTGCCTGGAGCTCAAAGACATCACAATTTAACTGGCATCCATTTTTGATGTTATTCAGTTTTGTGTTCATATACTCACAGTGTAAGTAATAGTTCCAAACTTGAAAGTAGAAGGTACATTAGGGCCGATACTCTTGATCACGATTAACAAATTTGACTCGTCATTAACCCGCGAGTACACGCGTGCCGGTCAAAAAGACCGACTATTGATAAAATCAGTAATTACGCCACAGGTACAAGGATGACAGTTTTGTCCATCCAGGAATGCCTGATGCAGATTTTCCACTACCCATTGGCCCAAATATATTTTGGTTTTTGGTTGAAGAAGGGTTCGTTATTTTCATAGTCGGTGCTTTTGACTAGGCGCGTAAACTTGAGTATCTGAAATATTTGTGTTCAAAATTGGCATTTTCTGATAATGGGAGTACTTTTGGCTGTCGATAATACGGTAACTGTACTGCATAATATAATTCCCTTTGTAATAATTATGAATTCTAGGAATTATAGTGCTTGTACACTTTTTTCGCGGAGACGATCTCAAACGTATCCTGAACGCTAAGGCATGACTTACGCAGGTAATATTTGAAAGTTTCATGTCTCTATTGATTAGCAAACTTGCGTAGGTCATGCCTTAGCGTTCAGGATACGTTTTGGATCGTTTCCGCAAAAAAAGCTAATAATTCATATAAACTTTTGGGCAGTCGGTCGATTTGACCGAACGCGTGTAACGACGTAATTTTTTTGGCGCGTGTAATGCCGGGTTAAATTTAACAAGGTTTTGCATGGGCCAAGGTTTGTAAGTACCTATGATGTGGTTGGAGCACATTCGAACCCCTGATTACTTTTACCGGCTATCAAATTCCAAAGCTGAGGACAAAAGTACCGGCACTAAAATACCCTATTATCAGTTATTTATACATATAAACTGTTTTAATAGCAATTTTAGTATATCGAACAGGAAAACGTCACATGTCTAAGCCTAACCTGAAATATCTCCATGCTTTCCTACATGTAGTTTCATTTATTTGCGCTGTAATTGGTTTACATGCAGCTTTTGAATCGAATGTGAAAGGCGAAAGAGAAAATTTGCATTCATTACATTCGTGGATTGGAATAATCACTGTAATTATTTTTGCAGTACAGGTAAGACATAAACATGGTAAAATATTAAGACTCAGCCAAATACCCTTTGTAGCTCTTGTGTGGATTATCTGCCTACCTATTTCCAGTATTGGAAAGCAATGCGAAAGCTTTATTTTTTCCACACCACGTATTTTATGGTACCATGGCTTTTGTATTGGCAATTATAACTACTATATCTGGTGTAACTGAAATGACGATGCTTGTGTAAGTAAACACGCTATTAGTTTGCGCACAAATATTGATATAAAACTTTTATTAGGCCCAATTATTCAACCCTTCCGTCAGTAGCCTATCTAATAAACATAATGGGAATTACTATAGTTATGCATGGAGTCCTTACGCTTTATCTGCTGTTCAAACCAGAATTTGGAACCCTTCCGTTGGCGAATAACTAACGAAATAATAATAGAGGTGCAATAAAACCAGATGATATTTCTAGTCTTTTCAAAAAATATTCATTTTCTGCTGAAACCTGGCATAAACTTAGATACAATCAATAAAATCGTGGAGTTTTGAAGGGAAGCTTTTCATTTCTAATTCTAGACGTATCGCATATGCAGCTATATACCACTTTTATAAATAAGCAACTTGGCAGGATTTGTGGTTGTCAAGGTTTAATTTCTGTGACGTCACTTCTCTGGCCGGCCGTGAGCGTACACTTTTTTGTAACAAAAAAGTACACTTTTTTGTACGCTCACGTCACGGTCGGACTAAAAAGTAACAAAAAAATGACGTCTGTGAAGTCAAACTTCAACATCAAGAATTGAGGTTAAAGAAGTCGTAATTTTCCAAAAATGTTTTTTTTTCAAAAAATCTACACGCTGATTTCTGCAAGGTTCACTATAAAATAGAAAGTTTTTTTTCAAATATTATGTTGGCCAAAGCATGCAGAATTTAAGTTTCCAACCTTCCACATCCTCGGTATACCTTTCTGTGGTGGCAGAATATGTCGGAAGTAGGAATTTTGGCACTTTTTCAGTTATAAGCTTCGATATTTTATTTTTTCTATTTTGGTGTCATATCGAAGTTTTTTTGACACTAAAAGTAGTTTCGAAAAGAAGCTTTTTGTGACACTCCTTTTTTACTTATCGGAGGTTGGTTACACTGGCTGACTGATGGCCATCGAACTGTCATTCGCGATTTTATAATAGAAGATTTCTATATTTGGCATGTAGCCCTTTAGAAAACTCGCCTCCGGCTCGTTTTCTAATATAGGGCTCGTGCGATAAAATGACGTCTTATGAAACTTGTATTTTAATGTACTATTTTGAGTATCAGGAAGTAGCTTAATAAAAAAAAAATATATTGGAGATTGGAGAATAAAGAACTTTCTTATTCTAAATAACCCAAACAATAAACACGATTTGTTTCCTGCTGCAAGTTTAGGTATCAGCATTCCATTCTTAAACTCGATGTTGTTGACAATTGGTTTTAGTGCTAATCGCAGCGAGTCAAGCGCTTTACATTTGTCTCTTTCACCACAAAGTTTTGCGTCAAAATGGTCGAATTTACGTTTGAAGAGTATGAAGACATGCATCTTATTTATATCGAAGCAAGATGCAACACTAAAGAAGCTTAGCGGCTCTATGCTGAGCGATTTTCTAATCGCCGACATCCGTCTCGAAGCACATTTCCAGCAGTCCATTGTCGATAACGAGCAAAAGGCAGTTTCAAACCAGGTGGAGGAGCCGCACAAACTGCGCGAACATTTGCCCTTGAGGAAGGGGTTCTGCATTGGATTTGCTGAACAACCTAGCACCAGCACGTGACCAGCACTCGTGCAATAGCGTATCAAATGAATGCCGCCCACCAAACTGTGGCCAGCCACCTCATCAAAAAGTAGCATCATTGGGTTTGCAACATTATCTACCGCAGGTACATTTTTGCCATCTTTTTTTGCAGCAAATAATAAACCAACCGGATTTTGGCGCGATCATTCTATTCACCGATGAATATGAGACTTCCTTCACTAAAAACGGGTGCTTCAATAGTCGCAACAGCCACATACGAAAGGATCACAATTCACACGCCGCATGGGTGAGAGCACATCAAAACCAATTTACCATTAACATATGGGCCGGGCTAATCAATGTTTTCATCAATGCCGGCAATACTATCTTGCAGCTAAAACATTGGATCCTCATTCATGCAATGCTGGTCTGCAGTCAAGCGTTCGCTTTTCTACGCTAAAGGTCAGGACACACATGACCACACCGAGCCCGTACCGAGACACGGCCATGTCTCGCTGATGAGTTGTAACCTTGCTGTACCGTGTTTTCTTAGGTCGTAGTGCCCGCGCCCGAGTGACGCCGCCGCATCGCGTCCGTACCTACTGTGCGAGATTAGTTTGGTTATTTCAGACGGACACGGTGCGTTGCAGTACGGACTCTCGCCACTCTCGGTATTTTTTCAGTAGAAATGGAGAGACTGATAGACGACGTCAAAAATTATTCCTGATGGAAGGTAAATTCTATCATTCTGATTTTAAATTGTTCGTAAAATTTGGTCTCATCGTACATTAGATGATGAAGCAACGTGCGGAATTCGCGTTCAACATATCTTCCTTTCAGGCGTTGTGTAACCAATTTTTAAAATACATGGGGACTGGAATAGAAGTCGGAGAAATGCTGAAGGTTCGCCAACGGGAAATTGCTCAGCAATCGAAGACTCAAAAATAATTTAAATTTCAAATGGTTATTTTTAAAAAAGGTTTTCTATGGTTTTGGTGGATTTCGGTTCGAACAATTTTCCGATCGAATAAATTTCCGTTTCAACAAAATTCCTTCCGAACAATAATTTTCCTTTCAAACAATTTTCCGTTCAAACAATTTTCAATTCGAACAATTTTTCTTTTGGAATATTTTCCTTTCGAATAATTATTTTCGAACAATTTTCCTTGCAAAAAATTTTCCTTTCGAACAATTTTCCTTTCGAACAATAATTATTTTCGAACAATTTTCTGAGACTCGCTGAAGGCTACATATTTAGCTTTGACAACAATAAAAAACGAGATGGCAAACAAAATCTGTGACAAAAATTCACTGCCTATCACATCGACAAACTCTTCAAAAAAAAAAAAATGATGACAAATGCAACAGTTGAAATGGCCAAGCAGCTACATGAGATGTGATCACATTATTCAAATTCTTGCTTTTTATTAAATTTTACTAGGTTATGTTTGGTTGGGTCAAAAATAAGTGGTCCTATTATGGCCCTCCACTACAACTCATCAGTCTTCTATTTCTCCTCCAAGCAAGTCTGATTAATAAAAACAGCGATAAAGACTATGGAAAATAGTAAAAGGTCTTCTGGTAGAATAATTGACTCACCAAATATATCATCCGTATAGCGTAGTTCATATTGATGCGAATAACGAATTGCGAATTCCGTTGTGAAAAAATCGGCGTTTTTCAGCTCTTCCATATAGAAACGAATTTCGCAATCATTAGCCGCTTTCGGAAAGTGTGATCCGATTAATCCGTTCGATCGGATCAGTAATCTCATCGTTCGTAAAATGATCGGAAGTCGAGTACTCGCATTCAGTAAGTGATATTATTGACTCGGTTTTCTCATATGTTTGTGATCTCGTTAACCCTGCTCTTGACGTGGGTAGGAAATTAATCTATCAGCTGTTTGATTTTTTTAGTTATGGGTTACGTTTATTTTATGTTTTGTTTACGTTTTGTCAAGTTTTGTGTTTGAATTATAGTGATTTTTTGTGTTGGGGATGGTTTGTACTGCAGTGTCTTTGAAAAGTCAAAGGCAATGGTCAAAGGTAAAGACCTGACCTCAAATCGTTGAAGAAAAACAAGGAAAACGAACGCGGGTGCCGGCGATCGTCGATCCCAATCGTTCGGAAACGTTGAACAATCTACTCTGAAAACGAGCTAAACCGCGATCAGCTGATATTAACTTTCTCGATCCAGGATTTACATTTCCGAAAGCAGCTATTCTATACTATTGTCGAATCCAAGCGACAGTTAATGACATTAAATGTGAACAAGCAAGTTGGTAATCCAGCCTTCCTATTGGTTAGTGCGCCTATAAGGATCAGTGCGCATGCGCGAAGCACAGGATTGGATTCAGTTGAAGCTTCTGGGAAAAAAATCTGCTTGTGGTTTTTCATGACGTCTGGTTTTTAATGACGTTAAGTGTCATTTGTTATATCCAGAACAGCTTTGCCTTAGTTCGGTCCTACCTACCTGATCTGAAAATTAACAGTAGTTTACGCCACTCGGATTTGAGAATGTATAGTAATATTTACTTTATTTGTCGACTACAACGTATATTTACATTACGCATATTTCTTTGGTTATAGCCAATAACATCACATTACATTTCACTATGGACCGGCCCTGGCGGCAAATTATTGACTCCAGCGCATTGCGAGAAGGATAGAGAGATTACGGTACACCACAACGGAATTTCACGTACTTGTTGCTTGTGTCAAGGCAAGTTGTCAACGTTCATGTATTCCGGTCGGTTTAGTTTCGTTTTTTTGAAAAAATATTCCCGGTTCTGACTTTTGTTATATCCGAGTGAAAAGACAATAAAATTTCAATATTATTATGGTTCACTCCTGTGTTGCATTTCAATTGCAAAATGCAATGGCAGAATGACAACCTAGACCAAAAGAAAAGGGTATATGGGTATAAAATTTAACTCAATGGTTAAAAATATTGGTTGTCGACGTAAATTGCCGTTAATAGCTCTATCTCTCTCTCGGACCTCTCTTACTAATGCTGGCCGCGGAAAAAATTATATTTTTATTTATTGTAGGTATAGGTAAACTAGACACGAGAAGACATATAAAACAAATTTCTTTCAAAATACAGGGTGTTTCTGAACAGTGGAAACCAACTTCTATAGGATAAATAGAACTCAATAAAAAAAAAAGTTAATAGAAATATGGGTCCGCGAATGCTTAGTTTTCGAGATACAGGGTGTCACAGTTTGGGTTTTTTTTTGTAGCTCAAAAATCCCTTTCCCGTTCGAAAACTTGGCAGACTTTGATATTCATTTTAGTTTAAGCAAGTCATATTACAGCCAAAGGATTCCTTTTCGTTAGCACAAACAGTTAACAACCCTGCCAAGTAAAAATCAGGAAAAGAGTTTTTGAGCTAAAAAAAAAAACGATTTTTCTCCAAATTTTGACACCCTGTATCTTGGAAAGTAAAGTAAGCATTCGCGGACCAATGTTTCTATTTCCTTTTTTTTTATTTTAATGAGTATATACTATTTATCCTGGAAGTTTGATCCCACTATTCAGGAACACTCGAAAAAAAAAAGGCACCTGATAAACACGCATGTAAGGAGACGTATTAAAGTAACAGCAAAGATCTCGTTATATACGTGAAAATTCAACTATTTGGTAAAGAGGTACTAGGTACATAAATCTTAACTATGAAATCAGCAGTACCTTCCTTGATTCATTCTTGCGTACAAATCTCATCTTTGCTATTCTTTAGCTGCAATGCAATGGGTTAATTATTAAATATTTAAACT